AAACATTACGAGAATTATTTTCAACCGATCCGGGACAGTCCATACTCGAGAAACAAGTCCGTGCACACTCTTCTACGATGCTCGTGAAAGCATAAGAACAGTCGTTTTCCCATTAGAACTTACAGTTCAAACGGACCCCCCCCCCCCTCCCAAACTTCAGTTTCTCGTGCTACATGGGCGACAACACCATGAAAATAAATTACTCATTATCAAAGAACTAACTTTTATCCTTCGCTGCAAATCATTTTCAGCTGTCTTTAAGCTACTCGACAGTTTTGTTATTGGTATTAGTGGAAGCTGCACTGCGTACCCGTTAAAATCTTCCTGAAATTCATTTTCTGATTGCCGCCTTAAAAGCTTTGATACTACTTTCCACATTTATTATTGCCAGTATTGTCATTATTTTGTTATTGTTATTATTATCATTACCATTATTATCAGTATTATTATTGCTATTATCAGTTACTGATATGACCGTTAGCAATCATTATTGTTATTATTACTGTTGCTAGTATTGTTACTACTATCATTATTACTCGTAGTAATCTTAAGCAATACTTAGATTTGATGAGAATTGCTGAAATACTTGCTACAGAAATTCTATAGTGCTCACGAAGTGGCTCATAATCGAACAACGTAATGGCTATTGTAAATCGGTTTTTATGCGTTTTTTGCATCTGTGCAATGCAAAAACGCATACTGTCGAGGGTTCCCTGTGTGTGTGTGTGTGTGTGTGTGTGTGTTTGTGCATGTATGTGTGTGTGTACCGATTTTTCATCTCGAGACCTGGAAAAGCTGCAGGGCTGAAACTTTGGGAACTTAATCCACATGCGAGCCCCAACTCCCAAAATGGGCACTCTTGCCCATGTGGTTTCCCCGTACGGGCCGGCCAATGTTTCTAGCGAGTAAACTGTTAACTCGGGAACCAGGAAAGCAAGAAAGCTGGAACTTTAAGGCGACGTTCACTAACATGTAAGTCTTAATGAGTTCCAACCCAGCCCAAACGTGTACTTAGTTTTCACGTACGGGCCCGTGAAAGTTTTTTCCGGGAAGTTGCTAACTCAAGAATCTGAAAAGCTAGAAGACTGGAATTTTAAGGAGACGTTCCCGATCCATA